TGTGTGTGAATGCGGTGTGTGCGTGCGTGCACGCGTGATTGGTATGTGTGTGCGTGGGTGCGCGTGTGATTGTGCGTGCGCATGCCCGTGTGTGTGTGAATGCGGTGTGTGCGTGCGTGCGCGCGTGTGTGTGATGCGTGTGTGTGCGCGCGTGTGTACAAATATTTGACAACGGGAAGTGTAACCCTGCCCGCCGCCGTCCACTGACTTTCAAGAAAATATATCTTCAAAACTACTCTCAATGCATTTTGCTTTTTTTAAAGAATTTGAATTATTATTGATGCTTCTAACCAGAATTAAAATTTTCAAAAATATCTAAATAAGTAAAATTATACTATGAAATCACTCCATTCTCCCATTGAAAAAATTGCATATCATTTTAAGGTAAAATTTTAGATTTTATACAATTATTTTAGATACAATTTTTTTTTAAACAAATATTGGTATATGACTCGAGTCTAAATATCAGTATTTTTCGTTTACTGTAAATACATCCTCAAATAAAAGTGAGAGATAAATGGTTAAACCGTCATCCTCAAGTCAGACCCCACTCGAACCCGTCTGGAGGACGGGTAATAGCTAGTTGTTATATATAACTACACGTAGTGACAGCCGAGGAAACGTGCATCTTCTGTTAGTGTTTTTCGACAGAATGTCAGGGCAGTGGATAAAATTGAAATCAGAATGTTAGCTCCGCGTGACTGTGGGTGTTGTAGTTTAAACAAAGTTAGTCAGTGTGCTGTGTAACCCCACAGATTGCAAATTTACGCATGACGTAATGTTATGTTAGCCTGTACTCATATTCAAATTTAGTTTGCTGCATTACATGCTGTCCACCTCTAAAACCATTATTCTAATGATTGGTATACTTACATACATATAATATTATAAAAAAATATATATATAAATATACGGGCAGACATATTTGTTACATCGATACATAAACGAAATCATTATGCTCTACTATGGTTACTATTAAATGCCTGTCAACGAAAATGTACTTGTCGCAACCAGCATACACGAATGATTGATGATGCATTCATAAAGTCTAGGGGTGGCAATTACAACCGGCGCCCATAGAGTTTAAAGCTCCAGGTGCGGCTCTTATATGAGAGCAGTGATCGACTTCCTCTGAAGTGAACTTGGCTTGTAATGTCAGTAGCTAGCCTGCTCCGGATTAGTTTATAAATGTCAACAAGTAAAACCAAAATCACGCCCCCCCCTGCACACACACACACGGAAACTCAATTGTCCACGGGTCACGCTCAAGCGCCAGCGCACACGAACTCAAACACATTTCTCTAGCGCCTTTGCATGCGTTGGATTTGACGGTTGGTGATTGCATACGGGAGTGATCGGTGTCGGAGTGCAGTGATCAGTGCAGTGCAGTGGTCGAGTATTTGCATGGTAGTGAGGAATAGCTTGGACGGCATATATTAATTGCGATTGTGTCGGTGTCGTGTTTAAGTGTATGAGGGATTAGTAGCTGGGCAGACGGATCGGTTTTTCGGGCCGAACATGCATGGGCGGGGGGGGGAGCGTGTGGTGGGGGTGTAACTTATCAAGAATAATAGCCGCGTTCACACGTAGCAAGAAATCCGGTATTTCATAAATACGAGGTCTCGTGTGAACGAGGCTATTATTCTTGATAAGTTGTGTTTCTTTATATGCTATATTTATTTCCTCACTTGTGTATGTTCTGTTTGAGGGATCGTTTTGTTTGTTTTGTTGTTGATTTTGATAGGTTTTTCGTGCATTTGAACATGGCATTGGCGTGAATTGTGGGATGTGTCGTTTGGGTTGTTCTTTGTTGCCATGTG